ATCTGCAAAATGTTAATAATTTTAGCAAAATAACAGGGATCATTAAAAATGCATGTGTATATATGTATATAAATAGAATCAAACCCCTTAAAAACGAACCGAACCGAACCGAACCAAGACCATCTCGGGAAATGATCTGAGTACGGTTCATAAATATATATATATATATGTGTGTGTGTGTGTGTGTGTGTATATATGTATATATATTCAATTTACTATTCAACATCTTGTCAAATTTCATTTATATTTGGGGAAAAATGGAAATTTAAAGGCATTCTTAGTTCAATTTTAAAGGCACAACCCTGCTTTAAACACTGGGTTACCACATGCTTACAGTTAAAAAAGATGGAGGTGTTTCTCATGGTGTGTTTGCCAGTGAAACGAGATGCTGATGACAGACTGAGGTCTGATAGTGAGTAAACAGCTGTGTGCTGAAGTGTCTGCTCTCAGGGTAACGGCAATTTAACTTCTCCACCTGACACCTCACATGAAGCTCTCCAACACACGGAAACATCTGTGGCTGATGCCCTATTTGTTTGGGATAAAACATGGTGGATTTCTGTGCATTTACTGTGAGAGATGTATAGTATGAAATTATGCACATACTGTAATGCATATGTATTTTAGAAGTTTACTTAATTCTGGTGTCTTTATTAAGGGTAATTTGACTTAATAGTCACATTTGAAAATAATATAAAATATAAAATTATTATAATTTGGAACGGATACTAACATTTTCAACAAATAACTGCCTAAAAAAATGAAATATGATCCTACAGGATAAATTAAAAATCCCATTTGTCAGTTTTTCTCTTTTTATAATTTTTTTTAAAAATGTGTTTCCAAAAATGTGTTTGCAAAGCATCACGATTACTATTGCTCATTCTTTTTCTCTTTCTCTTGTTCCACACTTAGGGCCAGATTTACTAAACGAGGCAAATTATCTTGAGAGCACAATCCCATAAAAGCGCAGATGAGAGTGGAAAGTGATCTGCGCATGATCTACTGACACACACAAATGTAAGAACACAGACGCAGCCGGATCATTTCCATAATGATCAACGCAATCTACCAAGAGCAGTGCAAATTAGCGTCTGGTTTCAGACATGCTTTCTTTGGGGCGGTAAATAATGGCACAAATACCAGTAAATTGACGAGCGCAAACCTTCGTAAATCACCTTGCATGCTTAATTTAAATTCTCTTCTCCCATACATTATGCGTCTGAAAGAGAAACTCCTACAAATGCATATGCAATAAGATCAGCCGCAAAAATAACCCACATTTTTCACAGCGTGTCTTTAGTAAATCCCGACAGTAGCTTTTTAACGGCAAAAGAGGGTTTGCGCTGGTGCAAGCTGATAGTAAATCTGGCCCTTAAGCTGTACTTGCTCACAAGTGGAGCTAATGAGAGACGAATTGATTGACGACAGGAGTGGTTGCTACTGTATCTTAAGCTACGTTTACACGTCAACGATGTACTGAAAACAGAAAAGCATTTTTTCTTTGCGTTTTTCGCATTCAGACGACAAGGTTAACAAAACAAAACAATCCCCATTCACACGCATCTATTAAAAAACGCTGTATTCTGCTGCCAGGCCAGTAGTTGGCGATGATGTCACTTTGTAAAGAAACACTATATACGCGCCTATAGACTGACCACATAATACACATGCACATGACATCACCGTTTTCACAAATTTGAATTTTTTTGTAGTTTACACGGAAACAATAACGGCATCATCACTTGGACTCTGAAACCCTTTTTCAAAAGTTTTCGAAAGGCCACCATAATGCCATTGTCGTGTAAATGAACGACCAAAAACTGAAACTGGTGTCGTGTAAACAGCCCCAAAGTCTCCTGAACCATGGATGTGTAGCTTCCCGCTATCCTGGCTTCCTTGACTTTTAGAGTTGACCCAGTATGTTGTGCATAGTGATTTTTAAAGGAAACGGTACAGTAGATATTTGTTATAAGCACTGTTTGATTAAGTTGTGAACTTTAGTGTTTATTTTGGCTCCTATTTCCTCCTAATCATTGTTGTAATTGGTCATGATATGGGGGTGTGTGCCTTTATCTCTATGTTCTGAAACACTGGCCAATATAGTGTTGGAGGTTACAAGCCTATATACACTCACCTAAAGGATTATTAGGAACACCAGTTCAATTTCTCATTAAAGCAATTATCTAATGAACCAATCACATGGCAGTTGCTTCAATGCATTTAGGGGTGTGGTCCTGGTCAAGACAATCTCCTGAACTCCAAACTGAATGTCAGAATGGGAAAGAAAGGTGATTTAAGCAATTTTGAGCGTGGCATGGTTGTTGGTGCCAGACGGGCCGGTCTGAGTATTTCCCAATCTGCTCAGTTACTGGGATTTCCACGCACAACCATTTCTAGGGTTTACAAACAATGGTGTGAAAAGGGAAAAACATCCAGTATGCGGCAGTCCTGTGGGCGAAAATGCCTTGTTGATGCTAGAGGTCAGAGGAGAATGGGCCGACTGATTCAAGCAGTTAAGAGCAACTTTGACTGAAATAACCACTCGTTACAACCGAGGTATGCAGCAAAGCATTTGTGAAGCCACAACACGCACAACCTTGAGGCGGATGGGCAACAACAGCAGAAGACCCCACCGGGTACCACTAATCTCCACTACAAATAGGAAAAAGAGGCTACAATTTTGGCTCACCAAAATTGGACAGTTGAAGACTGGAAAAATGTTGCCTGGTCTGATGAGTCTCGATTTCTGTTGAGACATTCAGATGGTAGAGTCAGAATTTGGCGTAAACAGAATGAGAACATGGATCCATCATGCCTTGTTACCACTGTGCAGGCTGGTGGTGGTGGTGTAATGGTGTGGGCGATGTTTTCTTGGCACACTTTAGGCCCCTTAGTGCCAATTGGGCATCGTTTAAATGCCACGGCCTACCTGAGCATTGTTTCTGACCATGTCCATCCCTTTATGGCCACCATGTACCCATCCTCTGATGGCTACTTCCAGCAGGATAATGCACCATGTCACAAAGCTCGAATCATTTCAAATTGGTTTCTTGAACATGGCAATGAGTTCACTGTACTAAAATGGCCCCCACAGTCACCAGATCTCAACCCAATAGAGCATCTTTGGGATGTGGTGGAACGGGAGCTTCGTGCCCTGGATGTGCATCCCACAAATCTCCATCAACTGCAAGATGCCATCCTATCAATATGGGCCAACATTTCTAAGGAATGCTTTCAGCACCTTGTTGAATCAATGCCACCTAGAATTAAGGCAGTTCTGAAGGCGAAAGGGGGTCAAACACAGTATTAGTATGGTGTTCCTAATAATCCTTTAGGTGAGTGTATATCTGATTTCAGTAAGAGCCGTTGGCGGCGGTTCGCTGTCTTTGTGGTGTATCGAGAGCTCTGGTATCCAGGGTAATGTCGGCATACCTCCACATAGGATGAACCACATCCAACAGGAATAACTGTCTGCATAAGAGGAATCTGTCCTGTCTGACAGGGATGTCCAGGTACTAACCCGGATCAGATCCAAAAAACATAAAACCACATCTGCCCAACTCACTGTGTTGCACGTCACACGTAGGCTTACTATTGGCCGACGCTGGTCATGTGTGTGATGCGTGCGACGTACAACCTAGAAGCTTTGCGCAATATCACTACGTGAAATCTCAAGGCCCACAGCGAAGGAAATGAATAGTTGAATAAAGTTGTTATTTTTGTTTGTTTTTTTGCGCACAAAAAGTATTCTCGTCGCTTGATAAACTTAAGGTTGAGCCACTGTAGTCACTCAGACTATTTTAACGATGTCTTTCATAACTTTTGGGCCGGCAAGTTTCGATCCCTTAAGAAGCCTATGGAGGAGTGATCCAGCTCTCAGATTTAATCACAAATATCTTAATTTGTGTTCCGAAGATGAACGAAAGTCTTACGGGGTTGGAACAACATGAGGGCGAGTAATTACTGACAGAATTTTCATTTTGGGGTGAACTAACCCTTTAATGTTGGATAACACGCCTACGTCTTCTTCCATTAATAATAATGGCTAGTGCGATGGCTGCGATATACATAAACCTACCAACATCCGTTGCCATGATTTTTTGAATGACTCAACGCGAGATGAAAATATTACGTTTTAGTCGCATAAAATTGGTTAACGAAAACGCCATCATTTCGCAATAGTTTTTTATCGACATTTAGAAAATCTCGCAAAAGTTTTGAGCAAATGGAATGGAAAAGGGACTAGTGAAGGTGAACATCTCCCATGGCCTGCACAGTCATGAGATCTGAAGATTTTTTAGCCAGTTTTGGGTGTTTTTAAATAGCAAGTCAGAAAACGTTTTCATACACCAGCATCACATAGTGACCTGGACGCTGTTCTGGAGGATTAACGGCTCAAAATTGAAGATGAATTGATGAATTGGCTCCAAAAGGAGGCCCTACACCATAATACATTATTCATTTTTATTGTCCAACCCCTGTACATTTGTGCAAATCAATATTTCATGTCCACATATAAATTTTTTTGGTAAATGTTTAATAAGCGCACGTTTCACGTCAGGGTTCAGATCAACATATTGGTTTATTTAGTAAAAAAAAAACCTGTCTGACTGTAGATTATCATAGACAACATAGACTAAGAGAACGCCATAGCAGCTTTGTGGCTGTTTTTATGAAGTTGTAGACGTGTAGACATCTAGCCTTTATTTTGGACTGTAAAAAAATGTATAAAAAGCTTTTACTTGAATGACATTAAAAAGCTCTATACAAGAAGATAAATGGCAGGTTCGGGCCTGTAGTGTGTTTTTATCTGCTTAGGTCTGCTCTGGTTAAACACTCAGCTATACCCTGGGAGAGATCTTACAGAATAAATCCATGACCTCCATTCCCTCACTCAACCTTTGCCATGTTTATGTCCTTTTCCAGGATCCCACTGACTGCTGGAAGCACACACAGGTCACATGAGTTCAAGCACAAGTGCATTAATCCTTCAATGCCATTAATCCGGATTAGTCAAACAAAGACTTCCGATAATCATCTTTAATCACTGGGGGAAGTTGCCTGGGCATGTTAGGAATACATCAGCGTCAGGATTTGATGTTGCGGTGCATTGGGATACAAGGTATTTCTCTGAGCTGTTGTTCAATCGGCTCACGTCAAGAGAGTTTTAAATGTTATTTTTATTATATTTTATGGTATTTATTTATATTTTTATTAGCTTTTGTGCTTATATTTTAGGTTCATTTTAAATTTTGTTAAAAATTTTGTTATGCGTGAGCTTTTGTCATTTTTAGTAGTTTTTTTTATATTTCCATATACCTTTAATTTCAACCTTCAACTTCAACTCATTTCATTTCCAAGGACACATTTATAATTTCTCTTTAAGTTTTGTGTAATTTAAATCTTCATCTAATATTTTATTTTATTTCAGCAGTATTTTAATTACCGAATTTTAAAAAGAAAAAGTTTTACACAAAAAAAAAAAAAAACGATGTGTAGGATTTACTTTGAAACAATTTCACTCACAAATTGCTAGTAAATTTCACAAATAATTGCAATGAAATGGCAAGTAACACAATTAAACATACAATTTTGAAGTTGAAGGACTAAAATAGTATTTTCTTGTTAAATGTACTCTTGTAAAAATCTTTGTTTACAACTTCGAAATATCTTTTTTTGTTTGCATTTTCATTTAAAAGTAACAACACTGCTCTTCAGACATGTAATGCATTCATTGTGTACTTTTCATGGTCAGTGTTTTGTTTTGTCTCATTTTAAAGATTTAAATTATAAGATAGCAAAATTGATGATGCACATATAGGATGGATAAAAGGTGTAGTTCACCAATAAAATTAAAATTCTGTCATCATTTTCTCTCTTTCATGTCTATCCGAGTCCATATTAATATTCCACTGGGGTGAGCACCAAAAATGACCACCAAAAACACCATAAAATAAATCCTTATGACATGTGAGCTATATTCATTCTATAGGTGTATGCGAGGAACAGAACACATTTAAAGTACCCCTGTTATGCTTTTTGGATATTGCCTTTGTTATATACCTGTTTGTGAATGTAAAAGGGTCAAAGGTCAAAATGCAGATAAATGGAGTTATTGTCTCCCAAAAGAACTGCCTGTCAGTAATTCCAGTCGTACTTCCTGTCTGAACCTACGTGGGTTTGTAACTAATTCGCATAATGCCTGCTATTGGCTGCCCGCGAATAGTTACTGTTTGTATCACCGTGTATAAAGTTCTGAGGAAAATCCGGAGCATAAATCCAGATATTGTAATGAGCATTTGGTTTCCAACATGCGCTGTAAGCGGTAGACCAATCACAAAAGACTGGGCCATCTGACCAATCAGAGCAGAGTAGGCTCTCAGAAAGGAGGGGTTTAGAGAGACTGAATCTTCGAACGAACCATTTCAGACACTGTGAGAAAAGAGCTGATGCTGCAATGTATATGATGAGAAAATTAAAGTGTTTTTTGACCTTGGATGCATGGAAACCTATTGTCGGAGACTCCAAAACGAAATTAGGGACATTTAAAATAGCATAACGGGGCACTTTAAGTGATCTAAAAACTTAAATTTGAGATTTGAAATCTCATTCACTTCAAATATAACTTTCAGTGTCAGCTAATTTATTCAAAATTTCTATCTGCCCTCCATACAAAGTATGACTTTTGAAGGCTTGGAATATAGTGAATGAGTCACATTGACTACTGTTAGGAGTTTTTTGGTCATTTTTGGACATTGACATTGTTTTATATGTATGTAAAATAAGCCACAAGTCAGGATGTCCTGCTAAAAATCTCCTTTTGTGTTCCACAGAAGAAAGGAAGTCATATGAGGTTTGGTACAACATGAGGGTGAATAAATGACTTTTCATTTTTAGGTGAATTATTCCTTTAACAGACCCTCGAAATAAATCATAAGAGAACTAACTCCTGTCCTCTAGTATAAGCCTTCACGAGTGAGGTCTTGCTCCAAAGTAAATATAATCCAGAGCTCTCAAATCTTCACAACCCCACATTTACAAGTCTAATTTAATCTGCTCAGCGAAACGCTCAAAGCCGGTTTCATCGCTGAGCAATGACAGTTTTAAAACCCGAGTTACTGTACAGCTGGAAGGAGCAGTGGGTGGTTTTGGATTTCTTCACAGAGCAAAACCAATTGCTGAAATGCATATTTGATGCATAAAGACTCTAATAGACGCCATTCTCTCTCCCACGACGCCCTGGTTCACGCTCAGAAAATCTTCTCAAAGCCACAGCCTGCTCTTAATTAGCACTGGGATCGAAAATAAGTTGGCTTATACCAACGGCTACAGAATTAAAATGAGTTTTTTTCCCCATGTTAAACCTTCTTATGTCAGAAAATAGACGCCCGCTGGGTAGCGGTATGGGTGCCTTGTCTTAATTTATTCACACTTTGTTACTAAAACATATTTGTGTGGGTTTAAGCTTCATAATTTGCTAATTAGAATTTGTATTCTAATTAGTCTTTCAGTCATATTGGTTAATTTGGATGAATATAGCTCAGATTAAAGCTTTAATTGCTGCTGCCAAACACCAACTATATGAACAGATCCTGCGGCACTGAGTGCAAGAAGTCGACAAACTCACAGGCTCTGCCAGGAAACACATTTGTGTTCGCAAGGTTGATCAGGAGCTTTTCTGAGAAAACTACACACTGAACGTTCGCCAAGATGGTGGAATCAAATCTTCTAAAAAAATATTTAGTTTTTTTTTTTTTGAGGCACTTAGCAGAAGGAAAACTAAATATCCATTACCATGACCGGATATTTGGATGTATTTTGTGAGTTATGTGACATATAATTATGAGTGAGTGTCTGGCACTCTTCTTTATTTATTTATTTAGAAAAAACTATTTGCTAATTGGGTAAGAAAAATGTATTTCTTAAATTGCATTTGAGCAATTTCTTTCTCTCTCTAAAACTAGTGTATTTCTTAAATGTATTCCTTATGACTTTCCTAATTGTGCTTTGCATGGTTTAAAGATGTTTAAATATTTTTAAAGGATAAAAAGACAAAAATACTGATACTAATACTTTTTTTTTTTTACTTTTTACTTTTCATCCAGGCTAAGATTTGTTTGATTGATTGATTAATTGATTAATTAATTGCTTGGTTCATTGATTGATTAATTGGTTGATTGGCTGATTGATTCATTGATTCATTGATTCATTTATTGATTCATTGATTCATTAATTGATTTAAACTATTTTTACTAATTTTTCCCATTTTTTCCCCCATTTTCTTACCAAATGGGTAAGAAAAATAAATTTACTCTGTGAAAACAAGTCCGTATATTTCATATAATTTAGCTTTGAATGCTTTAAAGATGTTTAAACATTTTCAAAGGATAAAAAGACAAAAATACTGATATTGATTGATTGATTGATTGATTGATTGATTGATTTACATTTTTGTATTTATGTATTTATTTATACATTATTTTTACAATTTCGCTTTGGTGTCACTCAGAGCGCTGCAATGACACACTTGATATTTAATGTAAATTAAATGAAACAAACAGTTCCGTTTATTAGGCTGGATCTTTCTCAAAGTCCAAGTGGATGCTCACACTGGTGGTTGAGGAGAGACCCCGACATGATTGTAAAGCACTTTGGGTGTACAGTAGTACATACGAAAAGAGCTATATAAATGCCTCATTCATTCAAAGTGAACAATGTTCATGTGGTTTAATAATCTATATTTCTCATTCCACTGATTTTTCTCACATTTATGTCAGTTTACTCACACACACACACACACACACTTTAAAGCGCATCAGTTTCTCTCTTCACTACAGGATGAGGATCCTGCAGCTGCAGCTCTAATCACTGTAATTAAGAGATAATTGGCATTAATTATTCTCACATAAGCTCATCACAAATCAACGGGAAAATGGCTGCTGCTGGCTTCTAAACGCAACACACCGTGGTTAAGCTCTCAGAGACTCTTCGAAGCGTGTACATTTACATCACAATGAATGTCTTCTTCTACTGAAGTGTAAAGCATCTGTCAATCAAACACAAGTGTGCTACTGCTATATATTTAGTATGCATTGGTGAGTGAAATTTGAGCTATAGAAGTACAACCCAAGACACCCTAGCAATCACACAACAACACCCTAGAAATTACATAGAACACCCAGCAATCACACAGCAACACCCTAGAAACAACCCAAAACACCCTAGCAATCACACAGCAACACCCTAGAAACGACATACAACACCCTAGCAATCACACAGCAACACCCTAGAAACAACCCAAAACACCCTAGCAATCACACAACAACACCCTAGAAACAACCCAAGACACCATAGCAATCACACAGCAACACCCTAGAAACAACCCAAGACACCATAGCAATCACACAGCATCACCCTAGAAACAACCCAAAACACCCTAGCAATCACACAACAACACCCTAGAAACAACCCAAGACACTAGGGGTGTGCCAAAAAATCGATTCACAGAAGAATCTAGATTCTCATTTGCAACGATTCAGAATCGATCTGAAATGTCCAAGAATCGATTTAATAAATAAATAAAATCAGCTGGCTGTTCGCCTCCATTTTTGTAACTATAGCCTATACGGGACGTCCGGACGTCATGCACGCAGCCGGTTTTTGAACGTGAGCGGCAAATCAGAGGAAGCAAATATGGATGCTTTTATAGAGCTTCTGATGCTTCTAAATATGATGCTTCTACATTCATTCTGCCGTGGCGGGCTGCCACACCTAAAATAATCCCGCCACGGCTGCAGCTTCTCAGTGAGGTCCGATATTAATGTGCATACTATTGTGTTATTGTTAAGCTAAAGGCATAAAAAACATTGTGAAGCACCATAAAGTGTTCGCACTATATTCCAAGACTTCTAAAGTCATTCAATAGCATAATGTGAGGTAAAAATGAATATTTAAGTCGTTAGTTAAAGTTAATGGAAACTCATCTCTCCTCAGTCATTCTCCATTTCTGCATTCAAACAGCGCGTCGCGTTATAGCGTTTTTTGAATCATAATCCTTTCTCCCCGGTGTCTGTTAGATTACAGCATTGGAGAGCGCTATGAATTGTTCTTCATCCGCACTGT